TAAAGAGTGGATCCCCTGGAAGTCAGGGGGTCCTCCTCCATTATTTGAGCAGCTGCAGGCTCGGTCCTTGGCCGGGTTGCTATAAAGGGTTTTGAGACCATCTTAGATGGGTGGTGGTCAAATAAGTAGATTCTGAGGTGGCTTCAAACTGAGCCCTGTGCACTAATCTTATTTTTCAGAGACACTGAGGGGACCCTGCTGTAACCAAGAGCTCTGAAAACAGTTTTGTTTCTAAATCTTTCCTGTTTAAGCCCTGTTGCCTGATCAAGGATTTTCATTAGAAAAAGTGAGGTAGATAATAGGTATGAAATGTTCTGACCTCCTTTAAATCTAAGATATTTGCTGGAATGTAATTTCATTTTATTACAAATTGAGATTCTGTGGGTAGTCATACCCACCTTAGACATGTCCTTGAACCTGTGCAAATTTAATCATTTAAATGAACCAGGAGAGAGTTTGCTGTTTAACTCACATTGGAGGTTGGTTCTCGTGGAAAAGGATTCACAACAAGATGGCTGGATTTGTATATACTGGATGTAAAGTGACTAGTGAAAACCATTTTCCAATTACTTATTGTAAAGTGAGATTGCGCTCTTGTGGGCAGGGGGGATTTCTGGGATTATTAGGAAAGGACGAACACCGGCCATGTAGATCCTGACGTTGACTTAGAAAGTCTTTCCTGTGCCTTCATTAGCTCTCCCTTTGGGTGTCGTCTGGTTGTGCATATTTGATACGTTATAGCTGAGGCAGAATCTGGGAACCCTCCTACTTGCCTTCGACCTTTAGAGTATCAGGACTTGACTTCCAACTGTCAGTATCTGCATCTCTGTGCCTGATAGCTTTTTCCGAAATTACAGGGCAACTGACATCAGGCCCAAAGCACTAGGCAATTAACATTCCCTAAGAGCTTCCCTCAGCCATTGACTGAGAGGTGTATAAATACCCCAAGTCTCTGTCTCTCTCTCTCTCTGTCTCTGTCTCTCTCTCTCTCTGTCTCTCTCTCTCTCTCTCTCTCACACACACACACACACACACACACTGGAGTGGGATAATTCTGTGGCATTTGTTTAGCGCTATTACCCAAGGTCTCCAAGTGGAATTAAGTTCTAGTTGCCCTCTGTGACTTTATTGGCTTCCTTCCTTTCCCTACATTACTTCCTCAATCCCTTACCAGTTCCTATGCACCCCTTAAACAATTTGCAGTGAATTCTTCCTTGTCTTAGGGCCAGTTTCTGGGGGAATATAAGACGAGCTTTGTAAATTCCTTACCAGCCATATATGGGGTTACTGAACATCAGTTCTGCATAAGTGTTCGCACTACCTGCACACACACATTTTCTCCAGCTCCGAAGTTCAGGAAGAGGAGCAGTGCAGCAGGGCTCTCTCACAGCCCAGGCGCAAACCACACACGGTAGAGGCGTGAGAGCTGCATCAGGCTGGAAGGTCTAGAGAGCTGCACTCTGGCTCTTTGCCGAAGGCTCACCTCTTTTTTTTTTTTTCCTGCGGTACGCGGTCCTCTCACTGTTGTGGCCTCTCCCGTTGCGGAGCACAGGCCCCGGACGCGCAGGCTGAGCGGCCATGGCTCATGGGCCCAGCCGCTCTGCGGCATGTGGGATCTTCCCGGACCGGGGCACGAACCCGTGTCCCCTGCATCGGCAGGCAGACTCTCAACCACTGCGCCACCAGGGAAGCCCTGAAGGCTCACCTCTTGGTGCAGGGGATAAGGTCTTAATTCTCTGTCCCCTTACCCTGAAAAATACCTGTTAATCAGTGCCAGAAAGGTATAAGGATTATTCTAGGTTCTTACGGTGAGACTTTAGCATCTGTGCCCTTGTGTAGTCCATTTGAGGGGAGCTGCTGTGTGGGTGTCTGCCAGTGCATCCTTCAGGAGAACTTCCTTCTGGTTTCCAGACAGTCCTGCCTCTCCCTAGGCCCACAAAATTGGGGGGTGGAGGGGACTTCTTTTTCTTGTTGATTGAAGGGTTGGCAAAGTTATGCCTAACCTTAAATGCACTGTTTCTCCCAAAGAAGGTCACAGACTATTGGGGAGAGTTGAGGGAAACTGAGGCAGCTGCACAGAACAAGGACATGGAAGTTCTTATCAAAATACTTTATTTCTACTGACCTTTTCACATGTAAGGCGTCCACTTCTTGAGCCTGCTTCCTTCTAACGTTAATAGTGAGTCTGCTTATCGTGGTCATTGCTGTCGACAAAGGGAATAATTAAGCCTCTTGGTACGAATCCCAGAAAGCACGTTCGCTGTCCCAACTCAACAGAAGTAAAACGCAGTCTGTAGCAAAGTCCGTTTCTGCTGGGTTGGGGTGAGGTGGGAGTGCAGGTAGAAGATCCTGGGATGCCTCACAGCACTCGGGCTGGGATTTCCAAGTGTCCATGGATTCTCTCTACTTCTCTTGTCTCTCCCACATCCATCCATGGATACGCTGCATGTCGCCTGGAGCATTTAGAATTTCTTTTTCGTTTTTTTTTTTTTTTTTTTTTTGAGGGGGAGAATGTGCTGATCTCCTAGACGGTGTAACAGATCTGTTTCTTGCAAGCTGCTTCTGTCCCTCTGTGTGGAACCACTGGCATAGGGTTCAGTGACGTAGTGATGCTGAACTGGGGAGAAGGAGCAGAGGAGAAGCAAGTGATCTTCACGGGAAACTCTGAATTGTCCACTTGGAAATGATGTCCAGTCCCTTACAGGTAAACATCGTTTGTAAATAACTTGCTACCAGTACATCAATTTATATCCAGTGGCACCAGATATATTGATCAATTCCTTGGTTTTGTTTTCTGCTTTCCCAGGTACTGGGAAGTGCCCCTCCCCCTTCCTTGCCTGGCATCTAGGGGACTCCTAATAGGTGGCACTTTGGGTGGCATTACAGAGAGGAAGGGGACAAAGTGGATGAGCACAGAGGATGCTGAGTGTGTACCAGGCTTCCATCAGTTTAGATTCTTTAAGTCCTCTGATTTCCCCACCTGGATAACCAGGCTCCTATGTCTTCTATTTTTTGGTTTGTGGGTGTTTTTTTTAAAATTCCTCCCCAATTTAAAAAACGCCAGAGCAAGACTTGTTGTGGGGATTGAAGGAGGGGAAAGATTAGCTTTGCTAAGGGTATGTACATCTCAGGACCTGAGAGTAAGTTGTGCAGAATGACAAGGGCTTTACCGTTTGTTCCCAGAAAGGTATATGGACCAGGTATATGTGACCAGGGTCACATGATGAGTCTTTAGCATCCATTCCCTCGTGTGGTCCATTTGAGGGGGCCTCTAGGAAAGCTCTGTGGAGTGTATCCAGAGGTGACCAAATCATCAAGCACCAGGAAGCTGGACCAAGTTGCAAACTTCAGTGTAAGCTTCCTCGAGGAAGGCAGGGCTGTCTATTCATCCTTATTCCCTGGTGACAAGCAAGATGTTTTGATAAATGTGATACATGTTTGTGCTCAGAAAATGCACGTTTGGACAAGTAAAGGCGCTCCTGGGGGCTCGCTGGGCTGTCAGAGGCAAGCTCAGAAAGCTGGGCTCTGTAAAGGTCAGGGTCCATGGAGGAGAGAAGTAATTACAGTCCTGATATTTGGAACATTAGGCAGGGCTCACGGAAAGGCCCGGCTCAGTGAACTACCTTGGAAGATGCCAGGTGGCGTGGGCAACCCAGTTTGATGGCAAAGAGGAATGGGTCTCTTTCATCTCCCTGTTCATGCTCCTTTCTCTCGCAGTCTTCCCATCCATAAGGTGTGCAACTCTTTTGGTTCTTATCCATCCAGAGCTGCCTCATTTGTGAAAGGAGCTTTCAGCTCACAGTGGCTTTGGGGTCGTCAGGGTCCCCTAGTTGGACAGATCAGGGTGCTGGCACGTCCCTGGCCCCTGTGTTCAGTTCTAAGTCAGTGCTTCCCATCCGTTTACGCATCAAAGAGCTCAGAGAAAAGGATCATTGTACTGAGGTCACTGAAGACCACTGGCCTGGGCGCTCTGGCTGCTGTCCCAAGCTCTGTTTAGCTCCCTGTAACTCATTCCCGGCCTCCATCTGAAAGCATCCGTCTAAGCAGTCTTCATCTCCAGTGGTTCCCACAATGCCTCCACTTCCATGAAAAAAACAGGGCGGGGCTTCCCTGGTGGCGCAGTGGTTGAGAGTCCACACGGGCTCGTGCCCCGGTCCGGGAAGATCCCATGTGCCGCGGAGCGACTGGGTCTGTGAGCCATGGCCGCTGAGCCTGCGCGTCCGGAGCCTGTGCTCTGCAACAGGAGAGGCCACAACACTGAGAGGCCCGCGTACCGCAAAAAAAAACAAACAAACAGGGCGAAGGCAACTACTTTCTCAGGCCGTACCTTGATGAGATGACGTCAGAGCTCAGTCATTCAACAAATGTATTGGGCGCCTTAATGAGCAAGGTGCTGTGAAGGGAGATGAACCGATGGAGCAGATGGAATCTTCTGGGCCCTCATAGCAAGTGAACCGGCAGTCACAGTATAATGGGAAAGACAGTGAAAAGGGAGCTACAGGGGGGCTACACTGGGTGGGGGTGGGGGGTTGAAGGGGAGGGTTTAGAGAGTTTCAAGAGAAACTCAAATGTATACAAAGAAGAAAAAACTCTCCCTTGAGTTTGTTCTAAACCAGAGGTCAACGAATTTTTTCTTAAAGGGCCAGACAGTTGGTCTCTGTCACAAATAGTCATCATGTCATTGTAGCCCAAATGCATCCATAGCAATACATAGAAGAATGGCTGTGGCCATGTGCTAATAAAACTTTCCATAAGCATGTGGCAGCAGTGACTGCGTTCAGACTGAGGATCAGGGTTTATTAACACCTGATCTAAAGAAAGGAAGAACAAACGCTCTATAAGTCCCCTCTGATTTAGAAACAACTAGGAAGAGGGTACTTTGCTGGAGAAGTTTATCTAATCTCAGTTTGGAAAAATGAATTTTAAAGCTTCTGTGAGTCATTAATCTGAGAGCGTGTTGTTGAACCCAAGTTCCTGTGCCCCAAGCACAGTGAGGCCAAACAAACACAAATGTTGACTTTGGAGCAGAGAAAGGTTTATTTCAGGGCCAATAAATGAGGACAACCAGTGGCTCACGCTCAAAAGACCCGAGGGGTTTCAGGAAAGAAGTGTTTATAGGCAAAACCTGGGGGGAGGGCTGCAGGGTGTGTAACCCTCCTCTGATTGGTTGGTGAGATAACAGGTGGCGTTCTGAGAATCTCAATCGTTAGCCTTCTGGTTTCAACCAGCCTGGGGTCCCTGTGCTCGTGCTCAGCCTGAAGTTGCCATCCTCCACGTGGGCGGGGGCCTTAGTTCCTGTAGAAGAACTCAAGATATGTATCAGATCGTTGTGCATATCCCCTGAGGAGAAACCGGACGGCCCCATCCTGCACTGTTGTTCTTGGTGCATTTCCTCACTCCCCTAATTAGTAACTGCTGGAATCTGCCCTTTGGAACACAGGGAAGGTCTAGGACCTAGGCAGAAAGCTTTTTCCCTACAAACAAGAAGTGGGGGACATGGAAGGGCTTTTGTACCCAGGTGGGACTGTGGCGGATGGCTCAGACCATCAGTACCTCCCTTCTTTGGAAAAGCAAAACAGGTACCACGTGGGGTGAGGGGTGAGCGTCCATTGAATTTCACTGGGAAGGAGAGGAGGATACTTAACAGGAGAGGCTAGCAGTTGGGTTCTAAGAGAAGTGAAGAAATTCCTGGGATGGGGCTGGCTGAGGATTTCAAGAAGGATTTTATCATTCGTTTTGTTTCCGGCTTTGCAGCGGTGTAATCCCACATCCTGTACCCCCAGCCTTTCAGCAAAGGGTGGATAATAGGTGAATTAGAGACAGTTGGTTTCCACCAAATACTTCATGTGCTCCTCATATTCCCAGCCTCCCTTGCAATTAGGTTGGGGCTATTTCTGGCCAATGGAATATGAGTGGGCATAACATGTATTCTGGTGTTTTCTCCTCTCTCATTCTCTTCTCCTGCCATGGTAATCTTGAAGACCAAGAGTTTCAGATGGCATAGCTGTAAGATTTAGAGTGCTGTCCCAACCTACACTGTACTTCATTGAGCAACAGTTAAAATGTTAATGTATTAAGTGACAGCTTTCAAATTTTGTAACGAATTCAATAGGCTTGCGGTGCTTTGGGAAATAAAAACATGAATGGGCAACTCAAGGTAGAGACAACAGCAGCCCCAGGAGTAAGACATTGAGTCATTGATACCTAACTAGAATATTTGGGGTCTAATACCGCGTAGTAGGCAGGATATGCTATGTTACGCTGTAGTAACAAACATCTCTAAAAGGGTCTCTAAACAACAAAAGTTTATCTTTCACTCATGTAAAATCTACTCTGGGGTGACCCTGCAGAGTAGCTGTCTCTCATGTGACGTTGTACTGCCATATCAACACTTGCTTCCACTCTTACTGAGGTTTCAGGGGAACCAGAGAGGTGGTGTGTCAGCCATAGGTACTTAAATGCTTCTACCCAGAAGTGACACATCACATTTCATTGGCCGAATCATGTCACATGGGCACACTTCAAGGGAGTGGGGAAGTAAACGTGCCATTAAGGATATCAGTGAATAGTGGTAATGTCTGCTGCATACTCTCTGCTACGGGAGGTACTAGACTATCCAGAAGTCTGGAAGACATAAGACTTAAAGAATGAGTAGCAATTAGCCAAGAAAAGAAGGATGGGAGAAAGAGGGGGAAAGTGTTCTGTTAAAAAAAGAATAATAATAATAAAGGTCTGCATGAATTCAAGAAATGAGACATTCAGGGTGGGTGGGGAAAGCAGCCTAGGATAGAGTAGGAATATTCACCATACATTTGAAAGCATGTGCAAGATATTTTAAGGAAAAACTCCCTTATGATGGAGCTTATTCCGAAGGTGAGGGTTTGGGGATGAAGGGCACTTATGGTCATTTGTTCCACACTTCTTGGGCCCAACCTGTCCTGTGTGTCCATGTTGGCACCTGCTACAGAAAAGGTGGAGAGCCTAGCTTGAGAAAGTTCAGGGCACTCAAACCCCTGATTTTTCTGTTGGTAAGGGTAAGAATTTCCCATTATTTTCCTCCAAAGTCCTCTTGGATAATTTAGTAGATCCCTGAGCTGAGTGGACCTCTCTAAGGACTTATTTAGAACCCTCAACACCCCCTCCATGAGAGACAGCTAGATAGAGGTCTCCACCATGACCTTATCGCCAGTGAGGTAGGTAGTGTCCATGGCTGCATTTTATTGCACCAGTCTTAGGAAGGAATGGGTTGAAGTTGTAGCAGCAGGAACCATATTACTTTAGACCCTAGTCTGATTTTGGTTCAGAAAATAGGGGCCGCTGTTAAAATGATTTAAAGTCTGACAACTAAAATTCCATAAGTACTTCCAATCGAATTATCAGCCCAATCTCCTGATACCTGATTGTACTTAGAGGAGCCCTGAAATAATTTGTAGATAGGGTTCCATCTGAAATTAAGGCAGTCGAATATTCTAGATTTTATAAGACCATCCTCCAGACTAAAGTGATAGTGACTCTTAACCAGAGTTCCCCTTGCTTCTGTATTCCCTCCTCTACCCCACAATGCTGGTAGAGCGGGTACACCATAGTACTTGTTAACATTCACAGGGCAACAACAGAGTGACACTTAGGATGTGTCCACTGTAGTAGGTTATTAACCAGAACATTCTAGATATAAATCTTTAGTTCACAGGAACAACTGTGAATGTGTGTCTGTGGGGACGGGAGGATGTTGGAAGTCTTCTTCCCTCTGGACTCCTAACTCCTAGAGGTAGAAAGAGTCATATTTATCTTCCTGTACCCAGTGCCTGGCATTCTAAGAACCCCAGTGATTGAGTGAACTCCTACAGCATAACTGATTTCCTGTTGGTTGCTTCTGATCATAAATAGAGTTGGTCAAAAATGAACGAGCCCACTGAAAGGGCTTTTCCTAACTGAACTTCACTCTCCTCCACCCTCACCGCTCTGGTCCACGTGGTGCCAATGACCTGAATGTCCGGGTCTAGCCTAGCTGACCTCATTAAGGAGAGGAGTTACAACTGTGACTAAGTCCGCCAAAATACCATAGTCTATTAAAGGCATCAGTTCATCGAAGTCCATGATGTTAATTTGCCGGGAAAGAGTCCCACCGGATTAAACTTTTAATTAGCTCAGAAAACGGGGGTTCTTGGGGAAATTTTATTCTGTGGCCTGGCAGTAATTAACCGACCTCCTCCAGAGTTACTGCCCCTGGGAGTATTGGAGTTGTTAAATTACCAGGCAGGGAGAAATTCTGCTATCCAGAAGCCCAGCCCTTACATCTTCCCACATCTCTCCTCCACTCCCTGTCTTTCTCTGAATGAAGTTGTAAATGAGCGATGTCTGTTCCAAAGGCTCTCAGAGACTCTATAGAACAGTGCCGAGAAAATCCCCAACCCCTTACAGTTTTTTCTATGAACTAAAGCTTTATATCTAGAATGTTCTGCATTAGATCATCTCCAACTCATTTTCGGGGGCAAAGATGTGGGAATCTTTTAGACGCTGACATTCTAGGACTGCACCATTTTTCTGTGCCCTCTCTGTAAAATCAGGATTATGGGACAGTGATACAGTCATCCCTCGGTATCTGTGGGGAGATTGATTCCAGGATCCCCACGGATACCAGCATCTGTGGATACTCAAGTCGCTTCTATAAAATGGTGTTGTATTTTCATATAACCTATGCACATCCTCCACTTTAAATCATCTCTAGGTTACTTATAATAAGTAACACAGTGTAAGTGCTATATATATAAGTAGTTGTAAATACAGGGTCAATGCTACGTAAATAGTTACCAGCACTCAGCAAATGCAAGTTTTGCGTTTGAGGACTTTCTGGGATTATTTTCCCCAAATATTTTCAATCCATAGTTGGTTGAATCTGTGGATACAAAACCCACATATTAATACATGGAGGACCAACTGTATATTCATACAGTACAAGAAAAATAACAATAATATTAAATCAACAGAAGCCAAATTATAGCATTTTTCCTACAATGAAATAAAACTTAAAATGTATAAATACAAAATATAAAAGTAAAACAAGAATGATCTGTGGATACATGTGACAGTGTGGGTGAATCTGAAAAATATTAGGTTCACTGAAAGAAACCAGACACAAAAGAGAGAAACCATATGATTCCATAGTTATGAGATTCAAGGACAGGCAAAATGAATCTAATGTGAAGGAAATCAGAATAGAGTTTGCCTGTAAAAAGTAGAGATGGGGTTGACTACTAAAAGGGCATGTGAGGGAACTTTCTTAGGTGGTGGAAATGATTTATATTTTGAGTAGGTGGATAACTTTTGTCAAATTCATTGGGTTGTACACTTGAGATCTCACCTGACCAATAAAAGAAAATTAGGCTTGAAGGAAAAAAATACACATAGCCTTTTAACTTAGCAAATTCTACTCTTGAGAATTTGTCATTAGACGAGTGTATAAAAGCAGTCATTGTAGTGCTTATAATAGGAGAAAATATACAAAAATACAATTTAAATACTTGGCAATGTGATTATATTCTGGTAGCTCTATACAATAGAATGTTCTACCACCATGAAAAAATGTTGATATACTTTGACACGTGAAAATACAAAATGTAATTAAAAACAGTGCAATCTCATTTTTGCAAGCATTAAATACAACAGCGGCTTTTTCAGGTTGGTTTTACTACAAGCAACATTTATGCTTTTCCAAGTTCTATATAGTATATAGCAGATGTATCTATAATCAGTGTTTATTACTTTAAAGATACCTAGCTGTTGTACATTTTTAATTAGACTTGGATATCACCCACCACAATGTCTAGTGCCTAGACAGCCAATGCTCAGAGCCTGTTGTTCATTTCCTTACATCCAGGCTCTCTTTGTACTTTTCTTTCTGGACCAAACTCAGGAGTCTTGTTGTTTCCATCTCATCAATACACGGCTGCAATTTAGTCCAGAAGAGAATGCCTTTGTACTTCCTTTAGGACATGAACTTTGAGTCTCTTACCAGATCTAGTCTGCTGCTATACTCCAGACCTGTGCATTCCATCTTCCATGAAGGTGCAAAGTTACCTGGATGAGATCTAGTTACCTTTGAAATATTTTTTAAGGTCCAGCTTGTTAGGGCCTGCTCCCGCTTGCAGAGCCTGGCCAGGTTCCATGCAAGGTGCTCACACACTGGTTACATCTGGCTTCTTCTCAGCCTTGCTTCTTGGCCACACCTGCACACTGCACCACCTGGCTCTACTCCCTCCAGCACTTTCTCTGGGCTCACACCTTCTCTTTGCCTGCCTTCTATTCTAGGATTTCATATCCTGAGATTCGCAGCTCAAGGTGCCTGTATATCTCCATATTTTCTGCAAAGGGGTTGTATAACAGGTTGAATAATGCTCCCCCCCCCCACCAAAATATGTCAAAGTCCCAACCCCCAGAACCTGAGAGTGTGACCTTATTTGAAAATAGGATCCTTGCAGATGTAATTGAGAATATTTAGATGAGATTATCCTGGATTTAGGGTGGGCCCTAACTCTAATGACAGGTGTCCTTATGAGAGAAACAAGAGGGAACTGTGACAGAGAAGGTCATGTAAAGACAGAGGCAGAGATTGGAGTGATGTAGCCACAAGCCAAGGAACACCTGGAGTCACCAGGAGCTGGAAGAAGCAAGAAAAGACTCTCCCCTAGAGCTTCAGAGGGAGTGCGGCCCGGCTGGCACCTTGATTTTGAATTCCTGGCCTCCAGAACTAATGAGAATAAATTTGTTTTGAGCCACCAAGTTTGGTAACTTGTTACAACAGTTAACTTGTTAATACAGATAGTAATTAGCAAACCATCTATATCAGTCCTGTTCCCACCCCTCCAACCTGCACTGATGGAAAAAGAAATCATGATGGTCTTAGCTTGAAAGACACAGATCGAAGTCTACAGGAGGGGCTTATGTGTAGGCAATTCAGTTTGAGAAGTGAGTCCAAGAAATCAAGTGAGGAAACAGATCTCTAAGTGCGACAGGAAAGGAAGGGATTCCAAAACAAGCACGTGTTATCCATCAAGCTGGTCACAGACGTGGACGAGGAAGGGTGCTCTCCCTGAGACTCTAGGTGCTGTATCAGGGCCCCCGGAAATGTCCATCCAAGGGGCACTTATTTACTGGCTCCTTTGTTCCATTGGTCGACAGTTGTCCCTTTGGACATCAGCTGCTCTGTGCCCATGCTTCCCGCTGTGTCAGCAGGGGTCAGGAGTGAGAGGAGCTTCTGGGCAGAACATGACAGCAGTGACTGGAGTAAGAGGTGGGTCTAGAGGATGTGAGGCACAGGGTCCCATATCACAGCCTGGAGAGAAGTGTCGTCAGAGTTGGGCTGGAGGGCCAACTCTGAGACTCTGGGGAAATTCTCCCCAAACTCTAAGCCCATTTGATTTATCACTGATAATCTGACCTCACAGGTCTGTTGAGAATTCAGTAAGAATGAATGTGAAAGTGTTCTGCGAACTTTAAAACACTAGTAAATGTCAGCTAGCATTTCCCCAATTGTATAGGATCATCCCAAACGCGAGAGCCTATTTTCCCACATCTCAGCCTTTGGCCTGCACCTGCAACACTCTTTCTCTTCCCATCCTCTCTAACACCTGGCCCTCCCCTTCTCCAGCCCCTTTCCAGCCCCATCAGGACTTACAGCATCTCCTGCAGCCAATCTCCCATCCGAAGCAAGCTGTCGGCCTAGCCTGAGGGGGATCAAAGGCTCCCTGATGATGCTGCCCTGAGGAAGGAAGTGGAAGGGAGAGTGCAGGGTCCCCAGATACAGAACGAGCTAGCTCTCAGAAGCGTCTTTTCCTGTAACATCTAATTGCATCTTACCTGCTGCTCCGGCAAATGAAATTTAAATATTTAACAAGGATATCAGCACCATTCTGGCAGCTGTGGGTCCCCCACTGATGAGACCTCAGAGGGAAGGAAACTGCCTGCAGCCAGCACAGTCTGTGACTGGGACAGAGCAGGCCTGTTCCTCACCCTCACACGCCCCAGGGGACCGTCTGGCCTGGCCTGGGCTGGCGCTCAGCAACCTTGCCACCCAGAGCCCGAGCGGGTCTTCCTGCCCTCAGCTGGCCAGGCACTGGGTGCCCAGCTCCTCTGTCAAACTGGAGACGCACACAGCTCATCCCTGTTTTTAGTGGGTTCTAGAGCAAGATGCTCACACTACTGCCCACCAACCACAAAGCAGGGCTGCCTGTGCAGCCTGCTAGCATCCCCCTAAAAGGCCACGCGGCTTCTCATCCTCTCTCACTACTTTCTCTGAGATGCCATCTATGATCGCAGGCCCCCTAATACGTTACTTTTCAGAAGAAATACTGTGTCAATGTAGTAACAAATGTTAAACTATAAAACCTAAGGACCATGTTTATAATGACACTGTATAAACTGTATTTATAAACATATTTTATAAAGTTATAAGTATCAGTCAAGATTCCAGCAGAAACAGACGGCTCCCATTAGAAGAACTCCTATTAGGAAGAAGGTTGATTTGAGAGGGGACTCTTCACCAGGCGAGGGTGGGGTAGAAAGGACTCACAAAAGATACTATGGTGGTCACAGTGGAGCTGTTGCCACCCCTCAGCCTGATGGAATGAGGCGAGAAACCCTGAAAAGAAGAGACATATCCTGTTGGCTGCCTGGGGAAATGTCCTATGAACAAATTTAAGAAATCCTACCGTGCTAAGTACCAGCGAGAGAGATAAAGGGATTCCTTGCTTCCAAGAAACTCTGCTTAGAAAGGGAGGCAGTTACCAAAGGCGGTACAGCACGATGGCCCTCCGCATCTGACACCTCGAAGATGTTTCTAGTAAATAGCAAGGAGGGTAGTCAAATCCCCCTCTTGGGAAGGCGGTCAGAAAGGAGAGGACTTTACTGGTAACTTCACAGATGACAGCTAGACTGAATTTACAGGGAGAAAGACATTACCTAGATCAGGTGGGGAAGGGGATTCAGGGAGAGGGAGAAGTGTCTGGATACACCCAGTGGTGGTTGGCTACATGGCGTATCTTGGGAATGGCTGGAGTTCTGACGTGGTTACAAAGGCTTTAGGAAAGCAGAAGATGACTCATTCAACGGTACACATCGAAAACTGATCTTCCCCTCCTCCCTACCCACTTCAGTGAGAAACAGGGTATTTGGTGAGGTGAGTTACTGGTAAAGCTATTGGGAGGTTGCACATCCATGTAGCTGATGGCAAAGCTAAAAAGTCTGAGTTAACAGCTCCAGGTTACCATTTAGACCTCTCCAGCCCTCCTCCCACTTCCTTCCTGGGGTCTCTCTAGCCAGAAGGATAGTCAGGTATGAAAAGACAGACGGTTAGTACGAGAGGAGAGTGAGCAGGCTTGGAGATCTAGAGATGGGATACCGCATCCTTTCTGTAGTTCTTGCCTGTGCTTAGATGCGTGAGTTCCCATCCCCAGTCCCTGCAGGGGTGATAAAGCCCCCAAATGCCCTTCCTATTGATCCCCATTCTTACGCTGTATCTCCCATGCCCGTAGTTTATAGCATCTAGGAATCAATCCTAGGGAAGAAAAAAATACCAATCCCTAATATATGCTTCTCCAAGGTACCTACTTACCTAATTACCTCTAAATATTTTCACCACTCTTATGGAATTACGAGCATTTTTAACAAGCTCTGATAAAATGCCTATGTTAGAGGGGAAGGTCATAAATCTACCAGCATCTATTATTCCTAACTGTACAGATGGTTCTTTAAATTATTAAGATGGAACAAGGGACTGGCAAGCTTTGAAAGGGGGGGAGGGAGAAGAAGGTGAAAAAGGTTTGGCTGTGGGATGCTGGTTAGGGATGGTTTTGCAGCTCGAGGGTTCTGGATAGACAGAAAGGATCATGCAGTGGAGAC